GAAATTCAATAAAAATTTATGTTATGTAGGTTTTGGGTTACTTATTAATTATATTTATAATTTGGAAGTCGGTATGAAATGATTTGAGCTCTAAAAATATCTCTAAAATTGAGAAAAAATCTGTAGTGAAAAATTCTTTTTCAGGTCGGTGATAAATCTGCAATTTGCATGCAGTTTTATATGTATGCATGACTTGATTTTGATTTAATTTGAACTTCAAACATGTTTTATTACATATAAACTATCTCTAGAGCATTTTATTTTAATTAAAATAATAAATAGAGTTCTAAAAAATTACTCACAAAAGTATCGATTTGATAACGCATTAGAGTCGTAAGTCACTGAAAAAACTTATGGGTTTTTATGATTTCCGTCACCTGTTGGCTATGAATCACCCTTCACTCGGTGATATGCTCTTTGCCGGCGATCTCTACCTCTTTTTCTCTCATTTTTCAGGAATAGCAAACTTCGACCTCCCCTTATCTTCTTCTTTATTTCTTCTTTTCTTATTCTTTTTGTTTTTTTGTTATTTCTTTCCAGATTGTGTTGGGTTGAGTGGCTTAGATGAGTTTTTAAACCCAATACTCAACAGATTTGGACCGTACAAACATCACACGCATAGCTACATGCGGTACGTTGGATGGGCCTTCACTAACGACAAAATCGTAATTTTGCCATCTTGTTCCATCATCTACTAGATCGCGATTCTCCTTTATATATGAACCGTCCGTGCACAAGACTGTTGGATCGCCTTAAAACACATGCAGAACGTTCGATCAACATCTCGCACGTGGACCGTTAGATCGCAATCATTCTTCCGCATGTCTACACACTGTTAGATCTTATTATCACAATCTTCACTGTTAGATTAGCTTAAAACACTTAAACCGTCTGATCTGCTTATCATGGATGCCCGCATGGCTGACCACATGTGCAGGTCAAAGGCCAAACGACTTTCTTTGATTGGGCAGTTGCTACGTCACTAGTTCAGGTAGTCCATTTTTTAAAAAATTATGAAATAACTCAGATTTCAAGTTTTTTTTTTATTTTATCTCCTAAATCAACTTATAAATTTATAAAAGGCCCAAATAAATTTAATTTTTTTAGTTTAGTCCATAATTTTATTTTTGACATATTTAGGGGTAAATTTTAATTTTCTTTTTGTTTTAATTTATGCATAATTATATTTAACACAAAATTTTCACTAATAATTACTTAATTTATCCACATGGTATTACACTGATCTACTACTTTTACAGCAAAAAATAATATTATACGACGGATAAATTTGTTTAATTAAAATAGTTGCAACGCATTTAAATTGTAATGTTAAGTTTTTTGCATTTAAAAAATTTATTTAACATCCTTACTTGTTTTGTAAAGCTAAGAACTAAACAGTTTCTAAATTTTATTCTTTTTTTTTTAAATTAATCAATTATGGTATACACTAAATTCATAAAAAACAATTAATTTGGCAAAAAGTAAGTTCTCTAGTTTTTTTAATTGATTATTTTATTAACAAGTAAGTTCTTCAATACTTATATGATGAGATAAGATATATATTTTATTTAATTTGAATATCATATAAAATATTTGCAATTATATTGTTTCTGGGCTGATAAAATCCACGAAGGCCCAAACTTTATCGCCCATGGTGAGCCCAAAAAGAGAGCAGAGGAGAAAAGTTGCACACACAGTTCATAACACAACTCTGTAAAAGAAAACCCTTACTGCAGAGAAAAGGGAAGCACGGAGAAGAGGTAACAAATCAAACAAGCAAGGAACCGAGAAGAAGAAGAAGAAGAGAATAAAAATCAAAGGAAGAAATGCCAGATAACAAGGAAATTGTGCCGCCGCAGTACGACGTTAACGCCAAATGGGACGCCTGTCTCGATCTGACGGTTCGTCGCTTTGTTTACTCTTCCCTTGCCGGTGCTTTCGGGGGTCTCCTCTTTTTCAGTAAGCCGTCATCTATTTTTCACGTGGCGTCTTAAATTTTCTGTAGCATCCTCTTTGTTTGGTGTCCAAGAAAATTGATATGTTTCGACCGAAGAAGAAAAAGGAAAGGCCCTTTCGATGGTTTTCTTTTATCTCTTCCCTTTTGCTTTGACTATTTCTTCTTGGGGTATTGATTTGCTATTCTGCTGTTAGTATGGAAAGGAAATGCAGATTGAAATTATGTTCCTATTTAAAAGCTCAATCCACGGTTTGCCAACAATTGACGGTTGTTATATATGTTAAGCTGTGTTCTATATTCTGTGTCTCTTTCTTTTAGAAACCAAGTTAGAAAGTTGGCAGTTTGACCCGAATTAACGTTGAAAACATTGCTGAATTAAGGAAATATGACTAATTACAGATCATGTACATTATAAATATTCATCTCTAGTGTAGGTTAATACTGTAATCCTGCAATTTTCAACTTGTAAGTGGTGTGTCATCGCATTGCATATATTAGATGATGCTTGCATAGTATTCAACGGTGAATTCTGACTTTTTATATCCCAGGGAGTCCTGTGACTCGATGGGCGACTGTAGCTTTTGGTGCTGGAGTGGGTATTGGATCTGCTTATACTGAGTGTTCTCGGATTTTTGATGCATCACGGGAAAATTTGGCCTCTCCAAAGATTGCTGACGCTCTTGCACCTCAGGTAAGAGTTACTTAAAAACAATTGGTTTGAATTTGATGTTTTGATCTCTCTTAAGTAAAAGCAGCATATCATGTATCTCTCTACTATATTGTTTTTCATAAACAAGTTGGTGATATTGTGAATTTTGGTATATGTTGAATAACTTTTGTTCTAGCAAATTTAATACGACATTTTTTATGAATCAAATTTGGCCAAGAAGAATTGTAAGTGGAATAAGAATCAAAGATAATCATGATGATACTGTGATTAATTTTTTCGTTTGTTTACTTTAGTGGTATAATAATATTCTGGCTTTGAGTATCATTAATGCCAAAAATGATTATGGTTCATTGTTCAGAGGGAAACAATATTTTTAGAAGAAAAACAAGAATGGATTATTAAAATAGTATCAAACGGATGCCACCCATGTACAAAAGAATAGCTTACAAGTTAATCAAAATATCCATAATGTCTCCTAAATTACCTCCAAAGAAAGAAGGTGACCCTTGAAAAAAAACGAGGATCTAGAACCAATAATCTTTACTCTTAGTAATGGGAACAAACTCGTTTAAATGCTCTTCTATTTAATTTGTTTCAGATGGCTGAGAACATAAACAATGGAATGAACACAACAGAAGCTTCTTTCAGTTTCTAGCAGCTTAATACCCTGTTAAGCTCACAACCGTCAAATTACTCAACTCCTGCTGTCCATTGAGGTTGATAAACTCAATGGCAGTGTTATGAAGTTGCAAGACCATAGGGCTCTAAAGGAGCAAATACCTAGGGGAGTAGAGGGCACACAAGCATAAAACATCCATTAACCAACAGCTTTCCTTTTTTTTTGCCCTGAGGTTGTGAGTAGTTACAATTCTCTCCAAGCGGTTTCACAGGCAAAAGAAGCAACAGGGAGGGAAGCTTTTCTTTTTCAGATTTGTTTCCTGGGAAAACACTCTAGTGCCAGGTTCCTGCTGGCCAGATGATTGTAGGAAGGCCTCCTTTAGGAATTTCTAGCAGATGAAAGGCACTTGTGAAGGCAATCAAGTAGTCTAACTTGCTTCATTAAGGTTTCTGATAAAAAAACACATTCTTTGTAATACCAGAAGTTGTCCTGTCGCTGCAAAATAATCTGTACTTTGGAATGCTTCTAAGCTGTTGGAATTGAGGGCAAAGATGAAGCCCAATGAACATTATTGCTGATTATCACCCCTATATCAATATCCATTTTTCTGCACTCTACCCCATGCTGTCTGTCTTTTCTACCTTTTTCCTTCTTTTCTGGCTGGTCCGAGTTTGTTCAGAAGAAGAAATCCCCTATTTTTTGTTTTATTTTTTTTTCTCTTAATGTAAAATGTAGGTAATTAACATAATATACCCGGGCATGCTACTGGTAATTGGATTTTCATGTTAATTGTGTGAGTGCTTTTCTGCGTCTGTTGAACAGTTTACAAAAGACAATCATGTAATTACAGACACCTATTTAGGTTATATATTTGACAAATTTATGGTATACATGGCTGTGATATGACTGGATTTCTAAAGCTGAAGAATCTGTTCAGCTGGATTGCTACAGCTGGATTCAGATGTTATAAAACTGAGTTAATAGTTGTAAAGTTTCTTTTAAATAAATTTAGAAAGTTTTACTCTATATTTTAGCACTTGAGGGGTGGCTCGAGTGGTTGGAAGCTATGGGATGAAGGACCCTGCAAGTCTAAGGTCTCTATTTCGACTCATGGCACACCCCACCCATCGTTCTTGTGCTCTCAAGCTATTATGACAGTACAATGACTCCATCAAATGAGTGGAAAAAAGAATCAGAGTTTAGAATAGACAATTATGGAACAATAAACACACAACTAAGTTGTATCATTGATAAAGTTTCTGTTGATCTATGGCTATGATCTGAGTGGATTGCAGAAAAAATAATCTTACAGTTGGATTCAGATGCTACGAAACTGTAATCTGTTGTTGTAAAATTTTTAATTGTAAGTGAAAAATTGGAGATCTTTAGTAATCTAATGACAATTTTGTGGCTGAATTAGTTTCATGAGCTGTACATTTAGTGGGATTACCCTCTTACCTCCCCTCTCTTTCTCTATCCATGTTTTGAGCCTTAATAAACCTTCAACTTTATACCATTATAGTGGTAATTAGCCTGTGATGTAGAAAAGAAACAAAAGAAACAGGAAAAAGAAGGGATGAACTATTGTGGTGAGCCATCTCATAGTTAAATGTAGGCAGTGGCATATGAATCATTATTAGTGAAAAATTCGAATCTTATGATGGTTTCACATTGGCACCAGCTAGTTCTGTATAGTTGTTCATAATTTGACAGTTTCTGTTCAAATCGTATAACATTGTGAGTTCATTTTATTTGGTTTCTCATTTTTGCAGGGCCAGGACTGAGAGATGATGTTATTGAAACCACCCGCAAGTTGAGTGGGTTTAAAAAAATCAAGGTTTTCAAATTCAGATTGTTGTTGGCCTTTTTTCCCCATGGAATAGCTTTTTGCGTATGTAGCACAAACATTTCTTCAGATGGGTAAACATTTGACCTGCTATAATGCAAATCTGAAAGAACTTCTATTTTCTTTTGTTCTGTAATTCTGTAATCGAGTAAATCTGAGGGAAAAGAGAAAATAATAATTCCTTGTGCCTTTAGCCCTGAATTGCCTTTGTGCCAATCTTTGGAAAAAGAAAATCACATAGGAAAATTGATGTCTGAGATTGTGTAGTGTGGAAGCTTCTGCATTGAATTACAAGTATTCATCTCCCTATGAACGTGATTTGTAGATTATGCAAGTGTGTTGCCTTAATGTAGTTTCCTATGACACTTGCAAAATCATTTGATAGACATGGTAGGAATTTAGAATGCTTTATGTTTATCAGGGTTTATTGTATGCTATTTTTAGTGGTTTGTTTTAGCTCCAGTGGTGGTTGAAAAAGTGAACCACTTTAACTACAAAATGAAAAAAGAAGACAATTGTTACTTGACCATTGCCAATTTTTTTCCTTCATTTTTAGGGAATGCCCCCTGGGAATAACATTCTAATATTCTTGCATTTTAGTTAGTTAAAGGTTGCAAGATTGGATCTTACTGGAAACATAGAACTTGTTTTTTGTGTGTATTATATAAGTTAGGAATGGACAACCTATAGTCTTTTGATTAAATGAAGTTTAGAAATAACTCATTAGTATATAGTTGAAATTATTTTGACTGAGTTGAAATTTGTTGCATAAATTATGATATATTTAAGCGGAAAAGAGAGTTTCGTAGTAGTTAAATTTTTTTTTTTTTATAATTGAAATAATTACAGTAAGCTCAAAAACTAAAATTTGTCTTTTGTTTTCTGACAAAATGTGTAAAAATTCAAAAAAAAAAAAAAACTGCATAATGTTGATTTGTAGGATATTTTTATTATTTTAGTTTCTAAATTAAAGGTTTCTTATCTTAAACTGAGTAAATTATACAAAATTATTTAGGATTTGAATATAATTATAGTTTTAAAAATGTAATCCCCTATAATTAATTTCATCATCTTATAATTAATTTTTTTTTTTTTTAGAAGTAGGATCTTGCTCTTTTAAGTTTTCACAAATGTTTTTCTCTGCCGTGGGAGCTAAAAGCATTCCCAACTGTAGTTGTTTATTATGTTGTTCTTTTAATTATTTGACTTTTAGGTTGTTGTCGTCGTGGGATATATTTTAAGTTTGTCATTGTAAATTTAATTTACAGATATATTCTTCTACATAAAAATTAAATTGTTTTCTTTTAAAAATTGCGGACCTAATTGTAGTAAATCTAAAACTTTTATGTTTTTTTTTTCTGAATTCATAAATTTATTTTAAAATATAATTTTAATAAAACTTTTATCGAAGTAACATAATTTTTTTTTTCTGATTCGTTTGGATAGTTTAAAATTACTTAATTTACAAAATTTCTATGAAGTATAAACTCTCTCTCTCTCTCTCTCTCTCTTTTTTTTTTTTTCTTTTGCAAAGGGGACTCTTGCAATCGTTGTTCTCTCTCAACTTGTACAAGTATTGTATAAATGAAATAACTTATTTCCTTTAATAAAAAAAACAAAACAAAACAAAACAAAACAAAACAAAACTTAAGTATGAGAAAAGTCATCAGTAAACTTATTCTCTGAACTAAGCAGTATACTCTTATATGATTATATCTGAGTCATCTTGAAATCGAATATTCATATAATCGAGTCCCCTAACAATATTATTCCCTGAACAAGTTTCAGCACTGAAAAGACAAGCCTATTGCTACCAGTTCCAAACATGATGACCTATAATAATCGTTTATCGCAGTCTGATGGCAAGCTTTTTACTTCTTTTCACTCTGTTTTGCAGAAGTTACACACCCAATATGTACGTATCTACAACTTAGAGGAGCAAACAACAAGCCTCTCAAGCTTCTGTCTTCCGTGGAGACGTACAAGAAAACTGCACAGAGTTTTCATGGATTCAGTTGTTTAAAACCAACCCATCATGTAACCAGTTTCTCATTATTATAAAAGCCTCCTCCGCATCACTATCTTCTTCGGGGGATTCCGGTCGATGAGCAAAGCCGTGACCTCTACCTTTAAAGATTATAGCCTTAGAACCTTTACCAATATTCTTCTCGGTATCATGTAGGATGCTAACTGGACAAAGCGGGTCGGAATCCCCAGAAATGAACAACACAGGCACCTGTACATTAGATGCAGCACATGAGTCTATCCTTGTACCGTAAAAGGATACCCCAAGGCCGAAACAAGCACCTTGGTCCTTGGCTAGAGTGTCTATTAGTCTGCCACCTCCAAAACAAAACCCTACTACGCCAAGCTTTTTGGAAATTCCTGCGGCCATGAATTCATCAACCAGCCATTTGGTGGAGGCGGCAATGTCTTTTTCAACTTGTTTTAGGTCTAGTTGTGCCATCCATTGCTCAAACAAACTTTTTGGCTGGTCCTTTGCCCATGGATTCCCACGGAATAAGTCTGGGACTAGGACACTGGAAAACCACAAACGAACTTATAAGCTAAATGTTTATGATCAATTATTGAAAGCGAAATGGGGGCAAAAACAGTGTTATTATTACTATAGCACTCCGTTTGCTTTAATCCCTATTATATCTTTTGTGTTTAATCGTTAGCATATCTTTCAGATAAAAAATGGATCATAATTTTCAAGTTTGAATCCCTTTCAGCCCTAACTTAAAAAGTTTCGAAGATGAAACCATAATTTCTTCTTGAGATTTCCCATTCCTACTTCACTCAATCTTTTAACCTGCGCAAATAATTTCTATCTGTTCAACACGGTTATTCTTTGAAGGAACTCTTGAGCAGAAAAGGGCATTTCTGAGTCTTCCATGGTCATGTTTACATTAGACAATTTCTGATACTATCATAACACTTTTTACCACCAGCAGGAGGATAAGAATTTGGAATGAAAAACAGGTAGGTGTCTGGCGATGATCAGAAACATACTTGAAACCGTTGCATGCAACACGGTATGCAAAATCTCTGGTGGAGGAATCTTCAAACCCAAAGATATCAGACAAGAGCAGTATGCCAGTTCCATTATTGTTCTTCACTGCCTTAAATAGATAAGCTTGGATTTCATCAGCACCATCCCCAATAGAAAGCTCCACTCCATTGACTAACTCACATGCCTGCTCGTCATCAACGCCATCTTCCACCTCCACCAAGCTACAGGATATTCTTTTGTAAGAAGGATCCTCTCCAGATGGCCTCCACAAATTTAGATTGCATCTTTTCTGAATATAACTGAAGCTTTATAGTCAGCAAATTGATGCTTTTTTTTTTGTTTCCAAAGATTTACAAATAAAAGAAAAACTTTCTGAAATTTTCAGATTACGCCAGAGAGCTCAGTTATTATCTTTTCAACTTCCTTTTTGGTAGAAAGGTAAGATTAAGACTTTGTAAAAAAACATGTAAGTGGAGGAATCAGAGTACAATTATAGCGATCATCTATAAATTGCCATCCAAGGAGATGAAAATCGCTGGTTAAATTGAATTAATCACTATATTTAAATTGAAGTACCAAAGTTCAAGTTATCAATGTGCATAGATTTTTAAATTTTTAATGCCTCTTTTTCTTAGCAGAAATCGAAGCCGTCAAGCTCCGACAAGAATCCTACACAGGATTCTCAAACAATTCATTTTTCCGCAGTAAAGTAAGAAGATGCTCGAATGAAAAATCACACCAGCAAAGGCAAAAAGAAGGAAGAATGAGCGTACAGAGAGAGAAGAGAAAGCAAATGAAGTTGAGAGAGAAGGAAGCAGACGGCGGCGTCGACGGAGTAGGACGGAACTTCTTCTGGTTGCGGTGGCGGGGATTGTTGAGGAGAACACGGAGTAGAAAGGGGTTGATGCCGGTCCCATTACCTTCTCCTTCTTTACTCCTAACACCAAACAATGAAGAAAGTAGCAGATCGAAAGGTATGTGGTAAAATATCTGATAAGACTTGTCCAACCATACAAGTACAGACAGAGAGCTCCATTGGATGGCAAAAATATCTGTTTCCGCTTCCCACATTCACAAACCACAACCAAACAAATCTCCTCTCACCTCAAATTGCTTTCGGTTAATTGGCTGTAATATTACTCATCTGCCTCTTATGAGCCCACAAGCCCGGTCAATAAAATTAGGGTTAAAACCAATGGTCCGGAAACAGATCGGATCAGATCAAATCGAAGGGAAGTTAACTGATGACCGGATTAGGGATGAGATGCGCACCAAAGACCGAACCATTCTAATTTCAGTTCAAACCGATGGACTCCTAATGACCGAATATTGTTTGGTTAGGTCCAATCCGGATCTAACCAAACCTTGAGTTTAAGTTTTCAGTTTAAACCGAAAAATATACAAAATGCCCAAGCTGAGGCTCTCAGGTAAGGAGCCAGAAGTAAACTATTAGTCTAACTGCTTAGGTCCTAATAATAATATAATTTTTTGTAATTAAGTTTCTTTTGTGTTTGTCAAGTTGCTTTGAAATCATATTGCCCGGTGTAGAGTAACAAATTTAGAAGCAAATATACAAATTAATACAAGTATAAGGGTGTTTATCTATGTACATTCTTCTAAAATTGAGCTGTCTTTGCTCACATCTCTACCGTTTGAATAGCAAGCTTAGCTGCAACCGTGGAGATACTCTCTTTGATCAACTCTAGGGAATGCTCTAACCTTTGCCTCGTATCTTTTAGATCCATAGCTCTTAGTTTTTCCTCTTGCAACTTCAGCAGTTCTGATCGAGTCGCACCTGTCAAAATATATATCTCATACATCAGCCATGGGTCATGGTGGTTCTAATGCTTATCAAAGTAGGAGGGATAATTCTATCAACTGAGAACAAAGCAGTACAATATTCATACACGTTTGCGGAAAGGTAAACAAGAACAGACTCAGTTTAAAGGGCAAGAATTTGAAACAAGCTGTCATAAAACCTGCACGTATGTCACCATTGTAGCACGCTATGGAGTAACTAAAACAGTGGACATAAAGAATTGTGTTGTGATACAGAAGTTTTTCATCTTACATTGGTTATATAAGAAGAAATACTCTCCTAGTTATAAAGAAAGACTGGCCACTCATTTGAGTGAGACACTTTTTAAAAAACTAGACTTTGATGATATAAAATTTCAGTTGGACTCAACAAAACTCTAGATTCAACAACATTGACACATGGATAGTGAAATCTTTTTTTTTATGGTATAAAATTTCAGTTGGACTAATCAAAACTCTAGATTCAACAACATTGACACATGGATAATGGAACCTTTTTTTGCACTGTATAATGGGATGTAGTGAATCTTCTAAAAGCTCAGCTAAAAAGTTCAAGGAATTAAATTTACTTGTGTTTTAAAGCCAATGCACTTTTCTCAACGAAAATGGCCTTGATTTCACTTGGAATGCAGTCGTTTAAGCGGCTGGCAATATGACAATGTTTCCTGACTTTTTGAAACTCCTAATGATGCATAAAGAACAGTAAGGGAATTACCTGAAACAGGTTGAAGGGCTGCAAAAGATACACGCTCAGCCAAAGATGGAAGAAATGCTTCATCACATTCCAAGGATTGTTTACTTTCAGCCCATATTAAAGAATTCAAAATATTGGTCTGCAACAATGCGTCCTTTGGGGCCTATTTAAATAAGAGAAGTAGACAAGACAAGTATACATCATAAAATGACAAACTTCACTGATGAAGAGTGTATGACAAGAAGTAACCAAGTCAACAAAAATATTAAATTTTCAATGGTCTTTCTCAAATAACTTTCAGATCATTCACCATGCAAAACAAAAATTACATCTCAATGGATTTGTCTATTTCTAAAAGATGAATTTTGATGCAGACATAAAACAGACGGAAATTTACTTTCAATTTAATTTCCAAGGAATTCAAACTGTGAATAGCTTCCTTTAGTGCCGTAACTTTTAAGCTGATGGCACTTGCACCATTAAGATCTGTATCTTGCATTGGTTTGACTTCACCTACCAAGTAAGGATCTGCCTGAGAGTCAATAGTTGAAAACGAATTTTAAAAATATTGTAAATCCTGTCGCAAGAATATAGAAGTAATAAAAAAACATGGAATGGGAAATGTCACATACATAAATGACTGGAGCTAAACAGAAAAGCACATGCACACGCATGTAAAGGTAAACATAATTTATTACATTTTCAAAAGTATCTTCTCATAGCCAGACGCGTCAAAAAAGCCCAAAGGTGGACAGAAAATTAAATTGAATAAACAATAGATAAAGGGAAAAAAAATTGAGGGGTGATGATAGATCAAACGGCATCTGATTGAGCAACTGAAACTCAGTGGAAATATCATCTAGTATCTGAAAATGGTAACCACATCCATAGTATGCTCACCTGTACAAATTTCAGAATCTTCACACGTCCAATCCCCCTTATTGATACTAAAGCTCCAACATCCAACCTTTCAATCTGAAGGGTGCAAAAACTGAATTTATACTATGAGAAAAAGGTCTTAAAAGAACCAAAAGTTCTAAAAGCTTACACGTTCAATGAGGACCAAACAACCATATCTAGCAGCAAATGATGCTTCAGTTGCTGAACTGTTAATCGAAATAGGATCCAGCACAAAATGAACGAAATTCTTCTTTTTTAATAAAGACTGCAACAAAAAGGTATAAGAACAATTACATGCTAAAATGTGGCATAACTTATTACTACTCTACAAAGATGAAAGGCTTAATCATGAAAAGCTAAATTGAGAATGCACATAGAAGAATTGCATATTTCCAGTTAGAGAAAATATAATCAGAGCTTGATCTCTTCATCAGCTCGGAAATTATGAGGGGGGAGAATGCAGTTATGCAAAGACAAAAATCAAGGGTACATAACGAGTTTAAGAAATTTATTGCTCTCATTAGTAGTGAAGGTTCCAAATGTATCATACCAGCAGAACTGTGAAAGTCAGAAGGAAAGCAATATCTATAGCGACAATTGACATGATGCTCTAGCAAACTGCAGCATGACAGCCAGGAGTTATGGATCATCTACCAAAGAGAGTGAATCCCTAGCCATCACTTGTGGTCCCCACATTCCTCTTTGAAGACACGGTTCCCCATATACAGAAGAGATTAGTATATGTGCAGCTTTCCCTTTTTTTTTATAGCTTTTTACAAAAGCCAACCAAAATTTAACTTGATTATAAACAGCCTTTAGTTCATGAGAGAAGGAGAGCAGAGAATAATCTTTAAAACAAAGAGTGAATGGAACTTGAAACAAAGAAAAAATTGGCCTCTTTATTGAACTAGACCTGACTTTTTTAGCAGTCAGTAATCGATAAGACTAGATGCACTTCTACTGACGGGTAAGGCAAGGAATGGGTAAGCTTCCTATCTACTCTACTTAATGTGCGGGTGTAAACTTTTTTATGAGCAAGTTATGCATTACCAGACTAGGATGAACAGTGTTATTCACATGTATAGGAGGTGAAGATGTAATATCCAGATGAGTAATGTGTGAAAAGACCAAAATAGTTGTTTATAATTTTTTTTCTTTCCACATCTATTGCTTATTAAGAGTACTATAACCACCATCCCATCACCATTTGCTGCCACTGCCATCCTACTGGTACCGCAACTTCTTTGCTTTTGCCTTTGCCAACCACCAGTATCCTATTGCCATTGCCATCGTGTTACAGCCATCACGACCATCATATTGCTGCCACCACTACCAATTTTTGACGTCATCACCACAATTCTCCCCATTACCACTACCCTTGCCACCACTAATATTGTCATCATTGCCATCACCATTATAGTCAGCCTGCCGTCATAAACACCTACATGGTTTCTGCACACGTTGCCACCATTGCTGCCGCCCTCTATCACTTGTTGACCAATCACTGCTGCCACCCCTATAGCCATCACTTCTATCGTAATTGCAACTACCTTTACTGCAATTGCTACCACCATTATTATCGTTTTTGCCATTAGCACCTCACCTCCTCATCATTGCTGCTACAACCACTGGTATTATCATTGTTGCTACCATCACCATCACTATCGCCCAAGGATATCCCTATTTTCGCAATCTCGGTTATTGCTATACCAGTTGTCTTCGATGTCACTCTACCATCATCACCACCCCCATCATTAATTAGTAATATAAACTACAAAATAGAGATGTAATCTTCGTTCCTATTACTCGGCTCTTTACTAAGTCATCCTAAATATACTATTAGAGTAAGAATGTTATTATTGGTAACTTACCCGATCATACTCTATCCTATACAATTAACTTATTCTATTAAATCCGCTTTTATCCATAGGTAACACATCCTACCCTAACTTACTTTACTCTATTCTACCTAATTACCTTGTTCTGTCCAATCCACTACCCTAAACATACACCAAGCAAAGTCTAGGCGTAATTTCATTTGGTTAACTGAAAACTTATAGAAATCTACGATATGCCTCAACGGAATGAAACAAACTGAATCTTAACTAAGTTACAAATTCCAAAGTAAATATGAAATAGAAATGAATATCTAAAATTGTCTGTAGGTTGCATAATGATTCCCACAAAAATAAAATAAAAGTTTAGTAACAAATAATACCTCCTCCAACAGAGCCAGGTATCTTGCTTCATACAGATGCAGTATTTTGCTCTCGGATGGAACAAGAACCTGAGATCATAACTATGTTTCTTTCATATTGTAGCATAACACAAAGCAAAGAGGAAACAGGAAAAATACCTTATTCATATTAATGTTTTCTATGAATGTAAATCCCCTTGCAGCAATTTCTCCAGAAAAAAAAAATGACACCTGCTTTGTATATTTTTACATGTCTCTAGCTTTCTTCCTTTCCTTTTTTTTTTCCATCTCTGAAGTGGTGATATCAACTTAAAGATAAGAGGATGGTAAAGAAACAATATACTAATCCTTAATTTGACGACTTATTATGTTCCCCAACGTCGCAGAGTCAGAATAGAATGAAGACTTAAGAGCAAACACCACAGAAGTAGAGAATCTATCCTCATTCTTTATTGCATCTCTTCCTTAATTGCTTTCTTGTTCAGGACAAATCACTAAATACATATTCCACCCTATATAAAGTCAAACTCCTTTTGGCATGTAAGGCTACATTCTGTTTAAGAATATTGCACGGTTGCCCTTCTACTAAACGTTCTACCAAACTGTTTCTCTTGAGACCAGTGCACCAGGGAAAAGCTATACAACCAAAAGAGGCACTGCCGCAATCTGGAAAATTCAATTCAAGTTACACCATAAACATGTTTCGATGTTTCCGTCTTGGGATTGACAGATTCTGGCGGATAAAACACTTAATTTGGTTTAGTTCTCTAATTAACTCTAATATCCCCATTCCAATTCTTATCTAAATCCCACCATTATTACCTCAAGCCCCAACATTGTGTATTTCTGTATCACAGACATTTATGTGTTTGCGTGTGTCTCTGCAAGAAGGAGAGAGAGAAAGAGAGAGAGAGAGAGAGAGATGCAATGGTATAACTGCTGACCTCGTTCATGTTAAACGGAAGCAGCGGGAGCTCTAGAGAGCTAGCGGCATTCACAGACCAACGGCGTCGTTTTAGGGTGCTAACCCCACGGTTGACTGCAACTTTTTGTTGAAACTGGCATAGAAATTGAGTAGGGGAGACAGGTGGAGATGTTCGAAAGGATAGGCTTGAGGAGAGAGAGAGATTGAAA